ATGGTCATTTTGAAATTTGATAAATGATGACGTAGATGTTAGGGTAGTTAGCGAAAGAGAGGTGTAATATCCTTGTTCCGAGATTGAGGTTATGTCGTTATGTCTTTATGTCTTAGGGAGTGACTACTGCACTGTCCAGACAGGGCCGACTGAAAACTATCTGCACTGACCAGACAGTGCCGACTAAAATCTATCAGCACTGTCTAGACAGTGCCGACTGAAATCTATCTGCACTGTCCAGACAGTGTCGACTAAAAACCATCTGCACTGTCCACATAATTTGATTATCATATCATATAAAGTCGCAGTTATATTCAAAATGGCTTGCATTCCTTCCTGGGATTCAGTGTATTAATAATTATTTTTGTTATAAGTTCGCAAAATGAGTGTTTTTTCAATACCTCAAGGTACCTAAAAGCCTAATTTTCACAGGTCGGGTCGAGGCCAAAAATTCATTCGAAGTTACCCATAAACACAAATGTCGCATATAAAATACAAACAACATTTTTCCTACGAACGTGCTCAAAGTAGTACTTTTCCGTCCACTTCCGCACTCCGTGAAAAGTACCTACTACTTTGCGCACGCTTGTAGGGAAAATGTTGTATTTTGTATGCGACATTTGTGTTTATGGCCACCCTCGAATGAATTTTTGGCGTCGACCTGACCTGTAAAAATTGACACTCTTGGGTACTATTGAACAAACATTCATTTTGTGGACTTATTACAAAAATAATTAAGAACAAACTAAATCCCAGCAAGGACTGCAAGCCATTCTGAATATAACTATAACTTTATATGATAATATGATAATTAAATTATCTGGACAGTGCAGATGGTTTTTAGTTGGCACTGTCTGGACAGTGCAGATAGATTTCAGTCGGCACTGTCTAGACAGTGCTGATAGATTTTAGTCGGCACTGTCTGGTCAGTGCAGATAGTTTTCAGTCGACACTGTCTGGACAGTGCAGTAGTCACTGCCTATGTCTTATGTGAGGTGGCGAACGACACGTTAGGTTAGAAGCCTGTTAGAAATTTTGTGCAAAAGTTATGTGAAAATTATTTAATAAAGAAAGTACAGCAACAATTTAGTTAATTAGACCCATCCACAGCCTCCTACACTACAAGCCATGAAGTTGGAAATGACGGCAACGTCGCGTATGGTGCTGTTTTGTTACTGCGGTTATGTGTTTCTGTGTATTGCATTCATGGTGTATTGTTGCTGTTTAGTATTTTTGTGGGCATTATCGACGAAAAAGTGGATAGAAACACGCCCATATATTGCCCATATTTAGTTGATACCTGTTTCTTTGTGCTTTGATTGCAAATTTTTAGCAAATGGGTACAGGAGCAAAAATTAAGGTCAGGTAAGGTAAAACAATAAAAACAATATTAATATTTTTGTGCAAGAGCATAGGTCTCGATATATTACTTAAGATATTTAAACTTGTTCCAGATGCCATGAAACTGCTGTGTTCCTGGGTGCAAATCGAACTATAGGAGTTCCTTAAAAACTGAAGAAATGCAAACATTTTCATTTCCAAAAAAAATCTGAATTGCAGAAGTTGTGGATGAAAGCAAAACACCAAGATAATTATACCCGAGATTATACCATAACGAAAAATTCTGTGGTGTTTTGTAAGCATTTTGAAGAAACCAAAAAAATTAGATTTGAAACAAACGAGGATGAAGGAGTAATTGGAGAGCTCAAACTAAAACGTCCAACTGTTAAAAGTACCTCTTATTTTCGAAAATCAGCTCAAGTATTTGAATATACCTGCCTTCCGAAAAAATCCCGAAAAAAGGAAAAGTTAGATTTTCAAAAGACATACTGAAACTGTCAAAAATTATCCAACTATGGAAGTTATATTTCTCTTACATAGGCCTTATAACACTTTAGAATTTAGAAATATATTTATTTAAATAGCTATATTATACATTGAATTACTGTTTTTGACCCTTTAAGTACAATAAATGATGCATTTTTTGTCATTCATATTAACAAAATAAAAAATATACTTATAAAAACAAGCCGCAGCAGCACCACTCGACGGTAAGATTGCGGTGTTGCCTTTTTAACTTCATGGCTTGTTAACTGTAGGAGGCTGTGACCCATCCCTACAAATTCAGAAGTGAGATAAGCAAAAAAGTTTATGTGTTATTGCTGTGGTTATTGTGATGTTGATGGATGTTTCCAGAACAGGAGGTTAAAAATTAGTTCTACTGTAGACCTGCTCTAAGGTTGTTATAGACAGAATATTCCCACTTTTAATAATAAATTAAGTTCAGTCAGTTCAGTGAAACAGTGTTGTGCTAATTAGTTTACCAGAGTCCCAACCCAATCAATCCTTAACAGAATGTTGTTGCAGTTCTTTTAGGTTATGCTTTATTTATGTAGGTATAGTTGCAATACTTTTGAATTAATGTTTTTCTTTTGTTGTTATTCCAGGTTTAGTAAGCTAATAGCGAATAAATAATAAACGATTTGAGTAAAAAAATCCTCTTTTATTTGGTTTGCAATATGTACTTAATTAGGTCTTCAAGAAGTATTATGGACGTTCTTTATGGCTCTAAGTTGTACGTCTTTAAGACGTATTATGGAGTTGACATACGACTTGCCCATTACGTCTTCAAGACGTACTTGGCTCTAAAATCGACGTCTTACGAACGTACAGTATGTCATAACGTTACACCTTATGTACGTCTTTGGAATGTAATTGTGTTTGTTGGGGCCTAACTTCCTCTCCATCAAATTCTGGGCCTGCGAGTGACGTCACTATCAGCAGCTTATAGTGATGATGTCACCCGCAGACCTCGATGGAATGCTTGCGATTCAGGCTGTGCTAGTGAGTTAATTTTTTCGTCGATTTTAAATGTAGAAAAGGCGATTTTCGGTCTGTTCTCACAGAAGAAATTAAGTGTTCTAGATCCTCGAGTATCCCAGAATTTGATGGTGGGGGAGTTAGGGGAGTATGACACAAATGACACATCACATAATCCAGCAAAAGATTATGCTTGGTTATCTTCGCGAAAAATTGCCTTTTGTTACCAGTGCAGGCGGGGCTGAGACATTTCCTGACATCAAAGGTCTGTTCGCACAGCAATCACAAACTTCCATCATCAGAAAACTAGTTTCAACCAATGGAATTCACTCTGACTGGTTTGTGATTTCTGTGCGAACAGACCTCAAGTCACATTCCAATTTTTTATTTTTTCTTTGAAAACTATCCATTTCTTGGCGAACATTCCCAACTTCCTGATGAACAGTTTCAACTTTCTGGTGAAAATTTCCAACTTCTTCACGTACTTCTCCCATTTCAAGCTTGGATTTAATATCTTGCCCTTCCAGAATTTTCCCCAGTCTGGTTTGTTCCTCAGAGATTACAGTTTGCATCCATTCTCGTTGAAATTGGAAAGTTTCCTAAGCCGGTTCTGTTCTTTCTGTCTTCGATCTTCTTCTTCTTGTTTTTTTTTTCTGGCTTCGGTCCTTAGGTCTTCTTGTTGTTGTTAAAATAGTGCGAAGTCAAATTTCCGAACACGATGGAATGTTCTAAAAAAATTAGTCTGCGGATTTGTTTTCCGATTTCGAAATCAGTAATTGAAGTCCAGAATTTTCCTTTTGAACTTGTTTTTCGATGTTGAAGCAAGTAATAACAATAGTTGTATTCCTTTCAAGAGCTTGAAACACTCGAGCTACTCGCTTCGGTGCTTAGTCGCCCCCGATTTGCAGGGAACATATGCGTGGTGAAACAAACACTTTTCGAAAGGAATAAGCGCGTGAAGCCCAGGAGCTGTTCCGGAGCTCCTCCTAGGTGTGAAAGGAATACAACTAATGTGACCATTCTGGGCACTTAGGCCGGCCTCACACGCAGCCGGAATAATGTCTTTCTGAAGTATTCAGAAACGGCAATCAGAGTCTGAATCCAGAACGTACAGAATTGTTATGGGTAGGTATATTTTTATTATACCTACAGCACACATATTCGATTTTTTCAAATTAGGATAAATGTTTAACTTTATTATTGAAAAATAGGTGGGCAACTGGAAATTACTGGCTCTGGAACGGTTCTCAGGTCTGTTGGAACAGAGACTGTCATCTCTTTTTATATGACAAAATGCTAATGGAAAACTGTGGTTGATAAGCGGTTGCTAGCTCACCTCACTCAGAATGAAATTATATTTTATTAATTTTTTTTGATCCGGATTTCGAGTGCATTCCGTTTCCAACCGGTTACGGTACGTGTTCCGTAAATGTCTGGTGCTTGAAAAACCGGTCTATACGGAACGCGGTTCGCGGTTCCTGAAAATGGTTATTTATATCAAACATGTCACCGAGGCAGCCGGCAATCCAATCGCAGATCGGATTTTCGGTAACTGTAGCCAGTTTTAAGCGATTGACCATTCGGTCATCCTTGGGTCATCTTGACAAATAAGCAATGCATTAACGTCAGTTAAGACCAATTGGTTGACAAATGACGCTTAATTAATGATTTATCTGTCAAGATGACCGAACGGTCAATCGCTTAAAATTAACTTGTCATTGTTTCTCTTTCGTTTCTAGGTGGATTCAACTAACCGTCCGTTCAGTATTCTGATGTAAGTTCTCCGAGCTTGAATTTACCATCCGTTTATTTAAAAGGTGTACTCGATACAGGCTAATTCGCGTTCGTTTAATAAAATTTCGGGCCCTTTGATACAGCGTTTTACTACTCTGTTCGCTCGCTGGTCACGTGAGTAAGCTGGCGTTCGGTATTTTGCTCAAAGAGCTGAGCGTGCTGAAGCGGAGCCCTAATCAAATCACGTGACCAGCGAGCGCACAGAGTAGTTAAACGCTGTATCAGAGCGTTCATAATTTTGATAGCCGAACGCGAATGAGCCTGCACTGAGCACACTCTTCAAATAAACGAACGGTAAATTCAAGCTCGGAGAACTCAGATCAAAAAACTGTCAGTGTCAAATTCGCTTCTTCGTCTTCGATTGAAAAAGCGTTCCGTATGAAACCAAAATTTTCAGCAACCATAGTCAACCCACGTTGTACCGACCGTTTAATTAGGTTTGGAATTGGAAACGGAAGCCACTACTCTTCGTACTACAAACATGTCAGATGTCAACCTTTAACCTCAAACTCAAACAAAAACTATCAAACCATCCCAAAGGAATATTTTTTGTCTTTTGATTTGGGTTTTTTACTACCCATGTTTGATTTTTAAAAATACATTTGATAAATAATCTAGACCTTCTTCAGTATTAATTTCAACCACATCCAACTGTATTCACAGACAATATGATAACTCTCTCTCAGCGCTTGAAAAGAAAAAACGATGCAGAAACAGTGCCAGCTTCTAGGGCCCCCATCAGAGACCGTTTACTAGTTAAGGAAGCACAAGAAATGTCCCAAATGTTACCATCATCCTGTTCAGTGTTGTATCACAACGAAAATGACTTGAGTAAATTTGTTTTGATAGTAAAACCAACAGAAGGGTACTGGGAAGGAGGGATTTTTAGATTTGATATTGATGTTACTGAGGAATATAATATGGTGGTGAGTTGTTGAAAAAGCAGCTTTTGCATCTGGTTCTGATTTATCTGCTGGGTCCAAAAAATTTAAATGTTTTTAGATGTGGACCTGTGCTTTGTTTGTTATTGAAACAAGGTTGACTAATAATTGCCACAACAAACGGACTTATTCTTAAAATCTTGCTTATTAGGCCAGGATACAAACGTTGAACTTCGCAAACTGGACACTACGTTTTTCCAACAAAATTTCTCCTACCAAATATTGTTTTTTTTGTTTTTTTTTTTCTCGAAATGAAGAGCTTCCGCTACGTAATACTAGGCTGTTCAAAATTTCAGGGATTATTGATGTAGGAATTGTATTTGAAACTTCGTATAATGCACCCTACCCTTATTTTCAACATGGAACCAACCCAAAAAAAATAAAATTTGAAAAAAAATGTTTTGAATTTTGAAAGAGAATTTCATTGTTATTAAGATCACCACTTCGTTTGGGGTCAATAGTTCCCACCGCGTCTTCTAGAGGGCGCTGTTTAACCAAGATCCGGTTTTTTCTAATTTTCTTGAAAAATCCAAATGGCATGATATTATTTTTTTAATGCTGTGCTTGAAGAGCAAAAAAATATCTACATTTTGGCGCAAACCGCAATTCAATATCTGCATTCATTTTCAAGTAATACCTATAAGGTTTATGGTTTCCATAATATCGTTCCTCGTCGACCTTAGTGGGACACCCTGTATACAGGGTGTTCCTAAATATCATGTACAAACGGAAGGGGGTGGGTGATTCTTTGGTTTATTTTAGGACTAAAATTTCCAATAAACATAGGTTCGCAAACGCTTCGTTACCGATCTACAAACAGGGTGTTGAGATTTCAATATTTTTTCAGTTTTCTCTTTATACCTAGCTCCTACAGTTTTTGAGGGATTTAGATCAAATTTGGAATATAGATTACGCAATAGAAGCTAAATGATTGAACATGTCAACATTTGCCACAATTTACAGGTTGATGTTTTTTCAGGGGCCATGCCCCCTTTTCTGCCCCTGAACTTTTTTGTGGTGCGCCGCTGGTAGACTCTAAAAAATTAAATAATTTTTCTATTTTTTTTTTTAGTCATAAAATAAACCAAGCAATCATTTCCTTCAGTTTCCTTCATGATATTCAGAAACACCCTCTGTATATGTATTGACTCTGTCGTTCTTTGCATTTTTAGCCCAAGGGGGAACGTTGGCTCTAGAATTGGATTTTCTAAATAAAAAGTCCAAGAAACGTGTAAAGCTTTCATCATTATAAGTGATCATAGTTGATGCAATACAGCTACACAAATTCACATGCAAGATTGAAAAAAAAAAATTATTTTGTAGCCTCCTTTAGTGAAATGCTCAACAAAATTATGGCATCCCAATATTTCTGAAAATGGCGAAGTCTGCCTATCTTTGCTCAGGAAACATAGTGTAGATGGAATGGGATGGTCTCCAATAAGAAGATTAAATGATGTTGTTTGGGGTCTTCATGCCTTATTTACAGTAAGTAACAGAATCATTATTATTTTATTTTCACCGATGCACGAACCTATCATTATGTTAGCAGAAAATCATTCTTATGTAATATTTATGATAATAATAATAAAAATAATAATAACATTCTTTATTCATCTGCATGTTCTATAATATGGTGGCTAGAAGTATGTAGTATAGAATTATAAGCTTTGTTTTGGTTCGAAATTTGGAACGGTTCTGGAATTGCGCAGAACTGCTCGTGCACAAAAAATAATAGAGGACTGTTCTAATACTAGTTCTGAACCAATTCGGAACCAAAAAAACCAAAACACAAAATTCTAAAACAGTTCCTCCTTCAGAGCAAGAACTGAGAGAACCGTTCTAGAACAATCCCAGAATTGTTCTCAAAAAGTTCTAGATAAACCAAAACACTGTGAACACAGTTCGATACGATTCTGAAAAAACCAAAACGCGTTTTGTAATATGCGCATGTGCAGGATGATTCCGAACTAGTTCTGAGTGAAACCAAAACAAAGCTATAGATAATAGTTGTACCCTATCTCTATTTAATTTTTGACATTATAGATAATAAATACATTCATTCAGGAAATTTAAATATTTTTACAGTTGTCACAACATGATCATAAAAAATGAAAAAGTTATTAACTACCCATCAGCACAATCACAAAAAAAATAATAATATAATAAATTACAAACCTTGCCTGAAGTACAATAATTAACGGCAGGTTTCCTTATGTCACATTGATGTTCAAAAGAGCTGGAGCATAATACAGGATTGCATTATTCCATCAAGTTATTAGTCGCAACTTTTTCTTTTTTAGCAGCCCTTCCACTCCTGGAAATAAGAAAAATCTGCCATATTTGTTGACAATCTCGCCCAGAGTTCAATTATTTTGCTGATCGTTTATTTCTATTAAATGATATTTGGATAAATGTTTTATTCTTTTTAGGATTTACTAAATTTTGAAGATCCCCTGAATGTTGAAGCAGCTGACCAATATAGATATTCGCAAGATAATTTTAAAATAACAGTATTGGAATATGTGAGAAATTATGCAAAAGAGTAGGTGCATCAGTCGCTTCATGATTTTAATGTACCTTTCAATTTATATTGTACTTTTTTTCTAAGTTAGCAATTATTTTTAGTTATTGTGATATATTTGTTTATTTTCTTCACTTCGCCATCCAGATTCTAATCCGATTCATTATTACTGTCAATGTAATAGAGTAAAAGAAAACTTATTCTGCTTATTGTGTGAAAATAAACTAAGCAGAAAATGAACTGTGACACCCCCAAGTAGCACTATATTTGAAAAGCTGTAACTTTTCTGATTGTTAATCTCAAACCACTGTTGGAAAGCCTTTTTTTTCAGTGGTGGTGGAACCACTTTCGACCAAAGGTTTCTTATACACTGTGTCCGTAAAGTAACGGATAAATTCATTATTTTGAAAACGGTAGAATTTTTGAAAAATCGCTCAGACACGTCAATTTTGTTTTTTTGTTTGAAATTTGTTGATATATTTTTTATTATACAGGGTTTCTCAAAAATAGCTCCGCTGCTATCAACTTTGTTTTTTCAAATGGATCACCCTGTATATTATGACATTTATGGATTCTGCGGAAAATGTTTGACATATTTCATGTAAAATGTTATATACCTATCTTCAACTGTTTCGGAAATATTGACAGTTGAAAATTGATTTTTTTGCAACTTTGACAGGCTGTAAAACCTGAACGGTTAATTTTAGAGGAAAACCGATTTTACATTCCTATCTTAGATTTTCATAAACTATCATTTGACACCAACTTTGAACTTATCCGTGATTAAAAATTCCGGTTAAATCTAATGTCGGGGTTAATTCAAAGTTGGTGTCAAATGATAGTTTATGAAAATCTAAGATAGGAATATAAAATCGGTTTTCCTCTAAATTTAACCGTTCAGGTTTTACAGCCTGTCAAAGTTGCAAAAAAATTAATTTTCAACTGTCAATATTTCCGAAACAGTTGAAGATAGGTATATAACATTGTACATGAAATATGTCAAAAATTTTCCGCAGAATCCATAAATGTCATAATATACAGGGTGAGCCATTTGAAAAACGAAGTTGATAGCAGCGGAGCTATTTTTGAGACACCCTGTATAATAAAAAATATATCAAAAAATTTCAAGCAAAAAAACAAAATTGACGTGTCTGAGCGATTTTTCAAAAATTCTACCGTTTTCAAAATAATGAATTTATCCGTTACTTTACGGACACACTGTATACTTATGTACTGAATTTGTCAGCATGCAAAATTTGAGAAGCTCATCGAAGAATCTGGAAATTTTGATGGATATTCAAATATTTAGTGGTCGACTGTAACCAATTTATTGACAATAATTCAGAATATATCAGATGCTTTAAATGAGCAAGGCCAGATTGATGTTGTCTATACGGATTTCAAAAAGGCGTTTGATAGTTTCTTTTGTGATATTGATTGATAAATTAAAAAGGGAGCTTGGATTCCATTTCACCTTGATTCAATTTTTTCAAAATTTATCTGTATAACCGTCGGCATAACGTGTCGATAAAACGCTGCAACTCACATTCCTTCAAGTCAACTTCAGGCATACCACAGAGATCCAATCTTGCACCACTGTTGTTTCATACATCAACAGTGTAACAAGACGACTCAAAAATTTATTATTAGATCAAAAACGACAACGATTGTACGTCTCTGCAGGCCGATATAGACAATATTATTGAATGGTCATTATAGAAAACAAGGTTTATTTTAATGTAAATAAATGTTTTGTCATAACATATACTAGAAAAGTGGTTTCTCACTTTCTCGCATCTCTGAAATTAAGGATCTAAGGTTACCTAATATTTGATTTCGGATTGATGTTTAATGCTTATGTGGCTGATGTTGAGAGTATAGGGCTTGTAATATGTATGGTTTCATTGTGAGGAATACTAGGGATTTTAAGAACCTGCAATGTTTGAGAAAATTATACTTATGTATCTTATATACGAAACATATTAGAGTATGCTAGTATAATTTGGTGTACCTTCTATGAGTGTCGAAAGTACTCTCTTCAAAGGGTGCAAAATAAAATGTCCCACTATATTAAGATATTTTAAAGAAGTGGGTGTCTATGATTTCAATATTGCATCATCTTCACTTTGTGACGCATATGGTTTGGAAACTTTACAGAAACAAAGACTTATAGAAGTTTGCATGCTCTATTTGTGTAAAGCTCTATTTGTATAAGATAGTGTAGATATATTCAGTACCAGCTTCAACAGGTTTGTTCAATTGTTAAAGAGGTATTGTGTTTATATTTTGTACTTTGTAATAGGATTTATTCATGTAGTAGATCTGTTGAGTATTGTAGAATAGATAAACATTTCTTTATGCATAGGGTGGATCATGAGATTGATAGCTCTGGATGTTTTTGCAATTTTTATGATATCTTGAGTTGCTATGGAAATATAGCGTTTTTGTCAATTTTTTTGTATGGGTTAGCTAGAGGTGCATAGGTCCTGATGGGAAGTTTTGATTTTTTTGTTTTTTTTTAAATTTATTTCGGTCATCCATCAAAGAGTTAGGTAAGTAATGAAAATGTTGATATTAAACACGAACAGGAATAAAATGGAACTTTCGACAATATTGGCTTGCGAAAAGAGAGTAATTTTTCTTAACCAGGCTGCTTTTCTTTAGCCTTGTTATTGTTGGTTCTTTGTAATCAACAAACACAAAGCAATTAAAGTCAATTGACGAAGTAGTGTGTTGCAAGATGCAAGGGCGCTTGATAGAAATGAATGTGACGTGTGAAACTCAAAGTTATAGATATGGAGGAGGACGGAGAAAAAAACTAATTCATATCTGCCCTGATTGAATAAGAAATCGTCTACATGATCTAGAGGGCTCGTCGCCGAGAAAAGTGTTCCCTTTTACCGCAACCCATAGATTGAACAGGAGAAGATAGGCAAATGAACACTTACTCTGAGAAGTACAGTGGTGAGACTGCCTTTTCACAGTTGAATGTCGCATCAACCTGTCTGATGGCCATTTCAAATATTAACTTAGAGGAGGCGTGTTAAAAAATGGATGGAAAAAAATATGCTTGCCAAACTTGCATTTGGAGGTGGGGGTGTTATGGTTTGGGGCGGCATTCAACACAATATGGAAGAACAGAACTGGTTAGTCTAGGATTTACGTGGAGGAATTTTTAACAACATTCGTCCTTTCGCATGCCAGGAAATATGGAGATAATAATCTTGTTTCTGCACAGCAATTTTATTTAATATAATATCTTCAAGCACTCCCAGATCACCAGATATAAATCCAATCGAGCACGTCTAAAGTTAGATGAAATTGATACTTGTAAAACGAGAGCACCAACCGGAAAAACTAGACGAGCTTGAGGCCATGATCATTAAGATCTGGGAGTTTCAGCTGAAATCGTCAAAAATTTAACTTCTAGCATGCCCTGGCGATGTGGAAAAGTTCTTGAAAAAAGAGGGGGCCAACAAATTATTAGTTTTTAGTTATTTGCCTATTCTTTTCATTATCGTTTTGTTTATTTTCCAGTACCTATTCTTACTATTTGTTAATATGTAATTGAATTAAAGAAATTAAACCCCTTCTCGCATGTCGCTACTACTTTTTTTCTACTTCGATCCCTCTTTTTTGCCTAACATTAAAACCAAGCACCATAATAACACACGTTTCTTAAAATATACGCTGCCACTGGTAACTAAAATAAAGATTTTAGTTTGGTCCCACTTGTACATAATTTAATTATTTTCTTTGCCTAGCTCATAAATCAATAACTAAAAATTTGCGAAAAAACGCATAGCAACGCAAGATATCATAAAAATTGCAAAAGGTGTGAATCTCGTGATCCATACTAAGCATGAAGAATCACTCAACTATATGTCATAATTTCCAGAGTCTTCGAAGGATTTCTCAAATTTTGCATGCTGACAAATTCAGCACCCTGTATATTATAAAGCTTTGGTCAAAAGCGGTTCCGCCACCACTGAAAACAGTATAAAGATTGGGCTTGCCAACACTGATTTGAGATTCACAATCGGAATGAAATTACAAAAGTTACCGCTTTTCAAATATAGTGAAATTTTGAGTTATCCCACTTCATTTTCTGCTTAGTTTGGTTTTGATAATCCTAATTTTGTTTATTGTTTAAAATAAGCTGAATTTATTCTACTTCTCCATTTTTAAATATGTACCTCACACTTTTTTCTTGACTATTTTTTATATCTACATTATGAAATGTAGTAGTGACATTGTAACAATTAAATTTACATTATCCATATTCAGAAAAGTCCAATTTTTTTTGCATGATGTGAGTGATATTTCCTTTTTATTTTAAATGTACTGTACAAATATTTAGGGTATTAGGATATATTTTTTATTGGTAGAATTTTTTTTTTAACCTTATCTTTTGGAAAATAAAATCGTTTTTGCAAACATCCTGGCTGGTATTTTACTTCATCATGTCAACAATTTCTTCACAGCTGTATAAAAATTAACCCGAAGGAGCCCTGTTTGAATTAAGTGTTTTCTTCAGGCAATCTAGTGGGAATTTGCTGTGGCAGATTCTTTTTGGCTTGCTAACGGCTCTTGAAAATATGTCTATCTTTCAATGAGAAAAATCATTAGAATGAAGTCAATTTCAGAACATAAGCTAAATTTCACTAACCCAAACAAAACTAAAATTAATTTTTATTTTCAAATTTTGGATATCATCATCAATTCAGTAGATGAACGTTTCGATTTGTTGGAAAGCTGCTTCTCAATATTTTTTTTTTATGAACTTTCATTCTGTAGGTACCGACTATCTTAAAAAAAGTTGCAAGGATTTAGATATTAAACTTCAAATAAAGATGGAAAATTAAAAAGGGACAGTCGATATAGAACTGTATAATGAACTTCTATCTTTTTTGAGATCTATGTCCCAACATCATATTTATTCAACTTGTCTGTAGCACCTAGATTTTTTTTGACTATACCAATCAGTGTGGCTTCGGGTGAAAGAAGCTTTCCAAAATCAAGTTTGATCAAAAATTACTTGAGATCATCAATCTCACAAGAAAGGCTTACTAATTTGGCAATGGACTTTTTCCCTTAAATTTAAATACATAATTCAAGCATAGAATCTTTAACGAGGCACTATTTTAGGTATATTTGCAGGAACCGTGCCCTAACGAGTAATACATTTTACTTCAGGGACAGATTACTAATTTTCAGTGCTGACAATGAGTGGCAACAGTTTCAAAATTTATGTAGTGAGGATAAATTCCGTGTTTTTATTTCGACAGTTTCTTTTAATTCATTTTCTCAAGAAGGACTATGAATTTTTCAAAAGTAAGAAGGCAGAAAGTTCTATTTTAGTTGTTTTATCCAATCATGCCAATTTCAAAAATTAATGGTGGAGACCATTGGCCATCAACCCTGATTTGAGCTGCCTGGTTCCAGTTTAGGTTCGCAATTGCCTTCTCATATTCTATGAGACATATTTGGCACTGACACATTCCTAGATCGCTGTGCCAGGACATGAATACCTAATAAGATAAATGATTTGCCAAGAGTAACAAACAAAATTGGAAAGCATTTGAGAATGCCCAAGCTCACCCTTCTGATTTGAAGAAATAAAAGGCCATTTAAGGAGAAATCTTTTTAATTTACATACCTATTTAAACTATTTCAAAAAAAATAAATATAATAAATTTAGATTTATAAGCATAAAAACATCTGTGCTAGGTAGGAATGTGATAAATATAAGAAAAATACAAAAAAAACAAACATATTTATAAACACAAAATAACACAAGTAATCAAATAAAATTAAATAATCTTTATGAACTCAAAGTATTTAACAATTCGTTGAGCATCATCGATCCAAAGACGGCATTTTCGCAGTTAATTCTTAATGTTGTTTTCTCACCTGTCTGAATAGTGACCAATGTTAGACTTGATGAAGCCATTGTTTGTCCAGCAAATCTACAAATTAATGAAAAAAACTTGTAATTATGATGTAACATCAAAAAAAAACGCTGTTGCTCACCATTCTTCAGCATTATAATACATACTAATAATATATGCAAATTAGGACATAAGCCCGCCTCTTATAGACCGTGGCTGCTTTAAAATTGCCTTATTTGGAAAAATTATGCCTCAAAATTTACCTTAAATATTCTGGAAACGAATTATCACAGGGCCCCAAATTGGTGAATTCACCCACACGTTCAACAAAATTATGGCCCTCCGGCACAATGGCTGTATGTTCATTCATTCCACATAGTTTCGATTGCTTCTCTACAAACATGCTAGTTGGCATTTTTACTGGTCGCAGCAATTCGCCCACATTTGGTTTGATGCTGACAGAAAAATTGCCTGAAAAAGATTTTATAAGTCTCTAAAATAAAATTTTAAATAAACTTTACCTAAGGAAGACACAATTTCGAAATTTGCTGTTTGACTGGTATCATTGAAATCAATACCCAAAGTAACTGGAAGTGAACAGTTCGGTGGTAATTTTGGTATACATGGAAAGTCTGGCATACTCATACCAACACCCAAACTCTAAAAATATTGATATTAAAGCAGAGTTGAAAAAAAAAGGGGAAAAGGTTTTACCTTTTTGCCTAAACGGATATCTGTAATGTCTGCAGAAGTATTATTAGTAAACACAACATTGATATTCGTCATGCTTGGGGAATATAAATGTGGGCATCTAGTATATCGATATGAAGCAGAAAGTCCGTTGCCATTAATTTTACTTAACAATTCCTTGGGCTTTGTATTGGCATTTGTTGGTTGAACTACTTGGAGAGTTTGCAAAGGTTCCACTGATGATGTTAAAGGTGAGAGAAATCCACCTAGAGAAGGTGTCAGGACAGGCGCAGCTGAGTCACCATAGGAAAAGTCTAATAATAGATCTAAATTGGACTTTGGCTCATTTGTTCTAGTACTATTATTCGCAGTTTCCTGTACATTGTTCTTCTTGGCAACATGATTACTAAGAGGTTTGGTATTAATTCGATCTTCAGCGGAACTGGATTCTTCACTTGACGACTCACTTTCCTCAGGGGAGGATCCTTGAGAATTACCCGGTTTCCTGAAAATTAAAGTAATAATGATAACAACCAGTTCCATAAAACCTGGCAGATCTAATTTTTGCTACAATATTAACGTTTTGTCACTTTTGCAAGAATAGATTATTTTTTTATTAGCATTGACATGATGAGACTCCTTTTTAGTAAAGTAACCATTAGAAAAAAGGAAACAACATTTTAATAACAATTCCCAAAAGCTGGTCTGTAGCTGAGCAAACAGTTGAGAGAAAAGTGGGCTGTAGTTTCGCAGTTACGTATTTAAAATAAGTATTTGAAACTCGAAAATAATTGAGATCTTACCTTTTCTAAGGGCTTAGAGGTGAATGTTCAATGAAGTCAAGTCAGTTTCAGTTGTATGTCACTGTCCGATTCTGAAGGCCGACTGGCAAGAACAATAGTCAAAATTGGGGATTTTTCACTTTTAGTGAGAACGTCACTTTGAGGCAAAACTTAAATATCCAATTTCAGCTTACCAATTGCGGTGCATTGTGATAAAAATGAGAGGTGCATGATATCAGTTACGAGTTATCAATTACGAGAAAAAAAAAACAATCGACACAGTGAGCCAAACAAACCAAATATTAAAAGCTCAACTCAAATACAAAGTACACTAGAACCCCGATTATCCGTGCCCGACGGGAAGAGGAAGCACGGATAATCCGAACATTCATTTCTTACATACAGGGCTTTCATTTCAAAACTTGCCACCCACGTTATCTAGGTAAAGAGACAGATTTGTGGAAATCGCCGAAACACGTCAACAAATTCAACAAAAACAATCTTTACAAATGCATATTTATTTCTAAACACACCTGCTTTTTTTTTGGAATGTAATAAAAAGGTAGGTAATTAGTCAGGTGTGTTTAGAAACAAATATGCATTTGTAAACATTGAAAGGGGCGTTATTCTGCAACAGTGAGGTAAAATTCAAAAAAATAGGATGGCAAATTTACAGATTCAGCGGCACTTTTAAAATATAATCTATCACTCGATACTCGGCCCACTGTCTCATTTAAACATTTTGGGGTGGTAGCCCTGGGGATTAGGGGGTTGAAGGGGCCAACTCTAATTTTACGTAAAAAACGTTCCCCCTCAATAAATTTGTTTATTTCCACAAATCTGTCTCTTTACCCAGATAACTTGGGCGGCAAGTTTTGAAATAAAAGCCCTGTATATGTGTGTATGTATTTAATTATATACAGGGTCATTTTTTATATTTTCCCACCCCCTTAACTTTTTTGTGCCACTGTGTATAAAAAAAAATTAACTAGGAAAGTTTTGTTGGTACAGGGTATTGCAAAAAGTTTTAAAAACTTAAAAATATATATTTTTTATTGGGACACCCTGTATATTATGACATTTCTGGATTCTGCGGAAAATTCTAGACATATTTCATGTATAATGTCATATACCTATCTTCAACTGCTTCGGAAATAGTGACACTAGAAAATTGACTTTTTTGCATCTTTGACAGACTGTAAAACCAAAACGTTTGATTTTACAGCAAAACCGATCATACATGCTTTTCTTATTTTTTTATAAAATATAATTTGAAACCAACTTTGAATTTAATCCATGATTGAAAATTCCAATTAAATTTAATCCCCAGTTAAATTCAAAGTTGGTGTCAAATGCTAGCTTATGAAAAGCTGTAGACAAGAATGTAAAATCGGTTTTGCTGTAAAATTAACAGTTTAGGTTTTACAGCCTCTCAAAATTGCAAAAAAGTCAATATTCTACTGTCATTATTTCCGAAACAGTTCGAGATAGGTATATGACATTTCAGATGAAATATGTCTAGAATTTTCCGCAGAATCAAAAAATGTCATAATATACAGGGTGTCCCATTTAAAAAAAAATATTTTTTTGTTTTTTAAACTTTTTTCAACACCCTGTATCAAAAAAACTATGTTTTCTGGGAACTATTTTTCAAGCACTACAACTTTCCTATTTAAATTTTTTTTATACACGGTGGCAAAAAAAAGTTAAGGGGGATGGGAAAATATAAAAAATGACCCTGGTACTTGCTAAAAAGCAACTGAAAAAATTATAGTTCCCATAAGTTCAAACCAACTTTTAAAATGCAAAAAAAAGATAACAGAATAAAAAATAAAATACTACTAGTTATTTTGGTAACGCTATTTCGATGAAACTTCCAAAATGGGAAGTCATGGCACGGATAATTCGCAGACCAATCGGGGATCTACTGTATATCAATATGAAGTGTCAGAGTGGATAAACCTCAAATATGTGATAACTTTCAAAATATATGGCAGTCTTAGCACTTTACCACACAAATATAAATTGTTGAAACACGGTGAGTAAATGTGTTCAAGAATGACAAAACTTCAAAATTGAAGCAAACATTTGGTAAGTGTGCTATTTTTTTATGAATCTGAATTTATAGTTACTACTTACTTTTCGGAATCATCTTCTTCCGAACTTTCATCATCACTAGTTTCTTCAGTACCAGTGTTCTCACTGGAAGACTCACTATTGGCAGCACTAGAACTTTCACTTTCTTCTGCAGCTGAGTTTGCTTCAGAAGCTGATTCCCATGAAAACATATCATTACCTTTGTTGTCCTAAAAATATATAATTCCAAATGGAAATATTTATAAAAAAAAATATTAGAGCTTACAGTGTGCTTGTGATGTTTGCCAGATTCTTCTACAATAGGTTCCACATTTCTTACATCATCAGAAGGCGGAACTTCTGGAAAGTCTGGCAATTGTTCGTAACCCACAGCACGTTGTTTTATGTAGTGAGATAATGATCCTAATTGTAATTCTTCTTGATCTACAGATTAAAAAACATTAATTATAAATATCCTAAACTAGTCTATGGTTCATAATATTATTTTGTACATTTTATTTCTGCATGAAAAGATTCAATTATGTAAAATAAGTAACATTAATTCCATGTTACTCTGCTTTTCTTTTCATAGAGTAGGCCAATTTCTTCATTTTGCAGGGGTATGGATACTATTAAATTTGATTTTGACCTCAATTTAAAATAAATTGTTAAGGTGGGATTGAGACACTACCAAAACCCTATTTAATGTTCTTTTGATGGTGCAGAAAAAGCCTTGGAGATTGTTTGTGGTGCATGCGTTAGAGATTGGTGTAGACCAATGTTTGTTGCTTAGGGTATACACACTCTGAACAGCCTTTTTTGGTCTTGGATACCTCTGTTTTAGTATACTAATATCGTTATGAGTTCACAGCTGCTAATTCCTACAATAACTTCAAGCACACTGACGAAGGGATCCCTTTTTTATAAAAGCAGGAAGATCTTTGGCCTGATTTACTTCAAAATATCCATTCTCCGTTAGAATTTAAGAAAGAAGTAAAGAAATTTTTACTCACCAAACTGTATTATGAGTTGCAACAGTTTTATAATGGGGTTTTTTGATATTGTTTTGTGATACATAAATTGTGAATTATGTACTACATACCATGTATGTACCTAGTTGATTCCAAAAACCTTCATGTTCAGTTTATTTTATTTTTTTACTGGCTTCTCCAATCAATGTTCAGTGTTCATCATTCATCATAACCATTGTGTATTGCAAGAATTTAATTTTGACTGTTATTTATACATAATTTTGTGCTCTTAGCTTGTAAGTCTTAGTTAACCAATTTCTGATATCAGAAATTTTTCATTTGTATTCACAAGATAAACTTAAATTTTCAATTTTGCGCCACCAAGAATGGGTGAGGTGAAATGTATTTTCGCTCTGCAGCCATGGATTGTGATGTCACTCCATGCAAGTTTTAGGGATTGTCTATTTTGATGAGCCATTATTCTGGGAAAGATGACAACAGTTTTTAATTTGTGTTGTAAGGAAAGTTTAGAACCTTTTAAACTCGGGTATCATGAACCAAGCAATCTGACAACTGAAGTCAAGATGAGAATAAATTTATCAGCAATTTAAAAAATATATATAACAAATTATACAAAGTGTTTTAGTTGTAGAATGGACACCCGTTCTATCTAGAAATATATTGATTATTTCACCTTTAAATTGTGACTGTAAAAGTGGAGCAGGTTTACTGGACAAAAATATCCTTGCAGCTTGAGATGGGAATTTGCCACTTTGTCCAGAGATAAAATATTTCAACAGCCTCGCCTTATCACGAATATCATAGTTTTGATCATATCTGGCTAAGCTAAAAATATATTGACTAAGCGTTGAAGTTTGTTCTGGATTTGTTATGTAGAGCTTCACTGCTAAATTCATTATTTGGAGCTTTACAGTGTCGTCCTATAAAAAAAAATAGTTGTACTAAAAAAAAATAATATATTTGGTAAACTTTATTACCTCATCTGGAAATGATTTTGCAAGTTTTCTGAGTACGTCTGGAGCAATTTTAGGCACTTTTTGAGAATGTTCTCCAAGAAGCCATAAAATTGCTGCTCTTGCTTGGGCAACAGTAATGCCATCAAGTAATCTTGCCATATGAGTAATAATCTCTTTAGGATCAGCAGCTTGTGTTTGTAACAGTCTTTTAATAACAACTACACTTTCCGCAACTACTGCATCTATAAGAAAAAAAAACCATTAGGACAATCAATTTCAACACTTCAACATTACACTATACCATCTCTATTAGATAGCAATGCAACTAAACCACTAAGGCACGTATCAGTAACTTCGGAAATCGAACAGGCACATCTTCCAATCGCTTGAATGGTAGCAGCAACAAAATATTTGTCATTATTGGAGATATAAGTTTGTAGTTCCCTCAATATTGTTAAAACATTGGCATCTGTTGTAAGGTTTGTTAATATTTCCAATTTTAGCAATTTCACATTTGTAGGATCTGAAGTCCTTATAAAAAAGGTTTTCAGATAAGTTTCAAACATTCCTTTGTTCTTGGCGCTAATAGAGGCAATTGCATTTAATACTATGCTTTGAACTTCAACATGAGAGCGTAAAAGACGGACCAGTGCCTTTGCTGCCAGAAGGAACTCATTTTTAGGGGCTGCATGATGATATAGTTGGGCTACAGCCATAACAACTGCAGCATTTCTTGACTGTAAGAGAGGCCTGGTAGATCTTAATAATAATCTATGATCAGGATTCAAAGAAGGAGCAGGCTTTTCAGAAACATCAGAGTTTGAGTCATAGAAAGGACGGTCTGGTTCATCTTCGATTTCCTAAGATAAATAATTTGTTTGGTAAAATGATGAAATAGATGAGCCTTAATAACATACATGTATATTCGGGTCAGCAAATTGAGTCCTAGCATATCTTGTCAACATATTAACAATAGTAACTTGACCCCACTCATCAACATCTACTATCAAGGCACAAAGTTTGCGATATACTTCATGGATAAGGTCCACTCTGTCAGGGCACACTTCAGTGAATGCCATTACCGCTGATCCAATAACTAATACAGTCCTATCTGCCAGTAACTTTTGAATTATAATTACCAGTTCAGATTTCAGCTCTGGATCCAAGCTAAAAACAACAGATAATGTTTTAATAAGTTATGAAATAAGAATAACAGGAAATATGAAAAAATGTAGATATAGTAGTAAAAAATATTAGCAAAAAATATTAGGACTTAATATAGATAATAATCTAACCTGGTCTGTACTCTGTACATAGTAGGTACCTATTGTGGGTTTAATACGAAGATGCTCTAAATTTTTAAACAGTAAAATAGCTTTAATGAACCACACTTAAGATACCTAATCCCCATATCGAGGAAGTGCTGGGCAGTACTTTCTAAACAGACTACAAAGCACACAAAATAAAGCAATCGCAACACTATAAAATAGGAATTATCTTACTGCATATACAGAGGTTCACTAGCAAACATCTATCTAAAATTTGAACAAATTGAAAACCTTAGAACAAACTAAATTGACACAAAAAATAAAGGAAAATAAATGCCTATCAATTAATAATATTTCCAACAAGATTAAGAAACAACAATTCTTCTTGACCTTCTTTTGTGCAGTACAAAAAACTCTGTTAACGACATGAACAGCAATCCGCCAGTCGGAGAAAGTGATTCTTTAGTAATTACTGCCAAATCGCACATGAAAACTATTATTAAACCGACTTAAAATATTCTTAGGTGTAACTTCTGGACTGCAGACTACAATAGTAATAATAATCACTTGCAAGAACAATTTCAAAATGTCACAGCAACTATAATGTCCAATAACACTATATACAGTGATATTGAAAATATTTTGAACGCCACAATAGATCAGTTCATTCCAAACGTTTCTGTCAAGGTGAATCCATGAAAACATATCAGCATATTTTCAAGATTAATAAAAAAAATAAAGTTTTGGGAAAAATATTTCAACAACAGAATGGTTGAAAACTATCAGAGCTACAGGATTCAATGTAATAAATTGAAACAAACCATTGCAGAAGCACGACAGATATTTGAGAATGGAATAACAACAAATGGCACATCAAAGCAATTCTTTAAATATGTAACAAGAAGCCCCAATTCTTATCATCTGTATCGATCAGGCGGGATAGTAATACATTAATAACTGATCCAAAAGTTATGGGGGAACAGTTTGCTATGCAATTTCGCAGTGTTCAGTCCAAACCCAAGTGTAAGATCAAATTTGCCAGACAATTCCGAGGTAACTAATATGTTGGACGGGATACAATTGACAGAACAAAGTTTACTAGGCTTTGAGTAACATGAAGTCAGAATCCAGTCCAGGCCCAGAAGATTTTCCAACAGTATTCCTACAAAAATGCAAAGCCTCTTTTGGCAACCATCTTTCACAGTTATTTCTATTTCCACAATTTATGGATTTGAAAAAAATTCCAGAAATCTTGAAACATGTAGCAGTTATTCCACTTCATAAGAAGGGTGACAGACCTATTGCAGATAAGCTATAGACCTTTCAGCTTGACCTGTAATCCTTGCAAATGTCTAGAAAAAATCAAAGCTACAAACTACCAAGTTCACAACATGGCTTTATATTTAGACGTTCAACAATAACAAATATTTTAAGCTATGCTGATAAATGCTCATGAAAAAAGGCAAAAGGCAATCGACTGATGTCATATACCTCGACTTTGAGAAACTGCATTGTTGCTCTATAAGCTTGAACATTTTGGAATAAATTAGAAACAAACTTCTTAGTCTAATCAATGACTTTCTCACCAACCGCTTCTATCAAGTAAAGGTCAATGGTATTTTATCTGATAAAAGTTATAAGTGGGGACCCTCAAGGGTCTGTTTTCGGACCATTACTTTTGCTGGTTTATGTTAGCGATTTAACATGAAACATTGAGACAAACATTTTCTTTAAATTGTTGATTCATGTTTTACGTTTTAATGTTTTTACGATTTTTAACTACTTAGTACCCATTTGAATTAAATATCCTACATCTAGATGTAGATGTTTTTTCTTAACTTACGGTTTTTCCTCTACCAAATGCTAACTGCAACGGCTTCAAATAAATGATGTAAACCTTATATTATTGAGCAAACTTGCCCTTGACGATGAAGCTCTATAGCTTCGAAACATGCAGGGCTCATTAATTTTCAATTATTAAAATTTTGTGGAGGAAGACTTTGGTGTTTTCTTTTGTGGTCATTATTATCTTTGCTGACGATACCCAAGGTGTGCTGTAATCCATTGTTGCAAAGGGACTGCTTGAACAGAGATCTGAGGTGAATTGAGATATGCACAAACCAGTAGTGCGTGAAGCATCAAAATGAACAATACTGCATAATGGTCCAAATAACCCTTGTGAAGCATACTTGCTAAATAATGTTCAACTTATTGGCTCAAACGGATCTGGGCGTGCTGATTTCTTGTGATTATTTTCATGGTGCAAAAGACTTTTGATTACTCTCTTCAGACTCCTATATCAGACTGAAAATTGAGTACAGATATAGTATTTGAAATTCCTACTTCATCAAGTATATTGATATTTTGGAAAGGCTCCAAAGGCAGGTTACCAGAATTCCATTCGAATTGAGAAGACTACCTTATACTGAAAGACTGGAAAGATTTGGGCTAAAAACTCTAAAGCAAAGAAGAACTAGGGCAGATCTGATAGAAACTTTTAAGATTTTGAAGGACTATTATTCTTGTCGCTTTGGGAGTTTGTTGCATTTTAATCGAAATCAGCAGCTGCGAGGACGCTCAAAAAAATTAGGCAAAGAAAACTTAGCTACATTTCTGAAGAAAGAACTTCGTCATCAATCAGGTTGTGTCCACATGCACCTCACTTTAAGAAAGTAAAATGTGCACAAACTCTTTGCAGACAGAACAAAACCTTGTACGTTGTGGTTGTAATGTGTATAACTAACTTTTACTTTAACTCCTCCCTATAAACCCTCAATAATCATGATAAACAATCATATCATAGACTAAGACAATAGCTTCATCGGATTTTCTGCTTGCTATTGACAAACAATCATAATAATAATAATAATAGGTCTGTTTCTGCAGAAATCGCATTCATTGGTTGAAAACTAGTTTCAACCAATGAAATTCACTGTGACTGGTTTGTGATTTCTGCAGAAACAGACCTATTGATAAAATAAAAACGAGCAATAATAAAATAAACCAGCCATAACTTCTAATTCAATGCACCAAATGTTTTACACTTGTTTGGACCCTGTATAAGATACCAAAAGAAAACTTTCAGATTGGTCAAAATTTCTCGGAGATAAGATCCTTGGAAATATATATCAATCAAAAATGTAAAAACCTGCTTTAACATAATATACCTCTCACCTTCTCAAAATTTCAATTATTTCCCTAAAGAATTTCTTTTGGTGTTCTATATTACGTACTATTATAATCCTTTATTTAGCAAATACACGCTAGTTTACAAAACTTTACAGTTTTACCATTTTTCAAAGGAAAGTACATTACTATTACCGACAAGAATCTTCGCGAATTAATATAAACAAGTAATCAAAACAAAACAATTAAAAACATTATTGAAAAATACAAAAGACACAATTGTGCAGTCATTAAAATGGACAGGCAAGAGCAAAATGGATAAAAACCCAATAAAATGTATTTAACAAGATCATTTTCCCTAAGCAAAAACAATTTTAAATTTTTCTTAAAACCATTCAGCAATAAACTATTTTCAGTACTATTACATAACTTATTGATTTGAAATCATCCAGACCTATAAAAAAAAAACAGAATTTCCAGCAAGCTTATTATTTCGACGTTGTATACAGGGTGATTGATGGTCGATGGTAGGTTAGACATTTATGGAAAACGGAATGTTGGATATTTTTGAAAATTTGCATGCCCAAGTAATTGCTCCTGATCTATCATTCTAAAATAATTTCAACGATGCGACGTTGCCGCTTATACCAAAAAGTAATATGAATTTTGAAATTTTAAATGAGACACCCTGTATATTATTGCATTTTTCGCTCCGCTATTACTTTCTGATCATTTTTGTATAATACTGTCCTATACCTATCTCTAGTGATTTTCGACTTATTAAATAATTTCTTTATTTTTTCTTCAAAACATAGCTCTAGTTAAATTTGTATTACTACGTCCCTGAGATTCGTAGAAAGTTTAAATTTTGGAGATAACTTAGGGAGGTCCTGCATATTACTTTTGAGCAAGAAAATTTGTTCTACATTATGCAGGGTTAGTCAAAATTAGTAATTGTGCTGCCAGGTACAAAAAAGATGAAAAGTACACTTTTTTAAATAGAACACCCTGTATATTATGAAATATCATGAAAGGCAATTAAAATCCCTTACAAATGATGTATCATGTTCCTATACCTAAATAGTAAGGTTTCGGAAATACAGGCAAGTTTCTGTATCTTTCAACAACTACACTTCCACTGAGCTCCGGGTTGAAGCAGGGGTTCCTCAGGGGTCTGTTCTGGGACCTCTTCTGTTTCTTCTTTATGTCAACGACATCTCTTCTGTGATTGTTAATGGCCAATGTACTTCCTTTGCAGACGACACTACTATCCTGTGGCATCATGGTAGTGTTGCTCTGCTCAATGACATGGTGAACACTGACCTATCAAATATCAAAAAATGGTGCGATGCTAATCTGCTTTCATTTAATGTTTCCAAAACGAACATAATTCACTTTAAGGGTAATTTCAATAATTCCATTTCAATTGACGGTCAGCCTATCAGCAACTTGAGCGAAAACCGATTTTTGGGCTTGTACATTGACAGTAGGCTGAAGTTTGGGACTCATATCTCCAATTTGTGCTCTAGACTGTCTTCCGATATCGCAAAGAATGTTTATTTTTCTCTTATAGAGTCCCATCTAAGATATGGCATTTGTTTCTGGGGCTCTTGCTCTCATAACCTCTTCCAGTCAGTATTTGTGTTACAGAAGCGCGCTATTAGATGTGTTTTCGGTTTGCGACTCGGAGACTCGTGCAAGCCTACATTTAAAGCTGAAAAAATACTGACGGCTTATAGCATTTTCATATTGGAGTCTGTGTGCTTAATGCAT